TTCCCCCCCCCCGCCCCCCCTCCCACTACCTACACCACGCGTGTTATCCCAAAATGGCCGAGGGCTTGTCAACAAGAGAGGTGGCAAGTGTGTGTGGTTCGACAAGACGAGGCGTGCCCCGAGCCCGACCTTTGACCGAAGAGGTGGCGGCACGCTAGGCACGGCGTGCGCGTGTGCCTGTGAGTGCTGCGCCTAGTAGCTCCGACAATGTAGACCCAACTGCTGAAGGGGCCGAAGACAATACTGTATGTGGCAACACTTACGAGGTACATCCACAAAGGTGTATTGCTTGACGGGAGGGGTGGAGGCAGGGGAACACATGAATGACAGTGCCACAATATCCTGGTCGATTACAATGCGGAGGCAGCGTACCTTGTTTCCCATGCCAAAGCAGTTGAAGGCGTCGTTGTAGCAAGCGACAGGGGCCGAAAAAAAAACGAGGTTGTCGTTGTTGAGATGGAAGCCTTCCCTCCTCACGACGAACATTGGGTCTTCAGAGGTTCCTTCCTTGCACCAAGGCGCGTGGGTCACCTTGTACTTCTGCGTCGAGTCCTCCTCGGAACCTCGCCGTTTGGACCACGAACCCTTCCCCCAAAAACCGATCCCATGAAGTGCACCGAACACCTTGGTCCCACTCACCATCGTGCTTGTCAGCTTCCATCCGTGTAGATCTCCGCCAGGCCCAGGACGCCGGCAACATTGACCTGCGTTTCCGCTCCAGCAGTACAGTCTTCCCAGACTCGCACAAGTCTTCCTCGCATCTCCGCCTGCCCCACATTTAACACCTCCGCTACTGGCCGAAACCCTCTAACAGTTGCAACTACTCCGCCGCTTGCAGTGTCCCAAAAGAGCTCGCAGATGTCGTGTACGTACACTTTTCTCCCACAAACACTGCTCTGTATGCCATCAAGCCCCATGAATGGGGACGTACTCGACAGCGTACCGTTCATGTTGGACTCTCTCACGTTGTCGACCAGCTTAGTCGGGATACAATTGACATGGTCGTCGTCAACGAGTTGGCGGCGGCCTCCTCTCCGCGCAAAATTTTCCCCGCCGCGTAGGTTTCTGAGAGTGCCGTCTCCGAGACTAGCTTCATGTCGCGAGCGAGAAGCAGGTTCACAGGTACGTCATACACCACCGCCGAGCTTCCCTTCTTGTGTTGACGGGACATTTCGCACGAGAACCCGTAGAAGAGGAAGGTATTGCCGCATGCGGTTGTTGAAGTGCGCAGCGTTAACACGTTCCAGTCCCCTCACGTCGAAACCGTTGCCCTCGTCCTCGAGAAGGAGTATGTCCAGCAGCCCGCCTAAGGCTTTTTACGAAATCTAGTGCGTGTGCTGCCATATCCATATCAGCTGCTGTTCCTTCGTGCGGAACAGATAGAAATCAGATTCTTCCGCATTCGTGTTGTGCATGAGGTTTTTAGGGCCGCCCTCCATCGTCGAGCTCGCAGCATTAGACGGGGCATGGGTGTGAAGGTTTTCCAGCCTACGCATTGCTTCAGCGCTGCTACGACTGTCTGAACGATGCCAGAATCTCGCCCATTGGACGCCTGAGACGGCTCGCCGTCGTCAACCGCACTTGGCTCTTCATAGACATCTCCAAACCCCGTCTCCATCTGTTATAGGTCGTCGTATTCTTCATCTCTCTCGTGTCCTAAAATGTATAATAGTTTGGAAAGACAACAGTATGCGCACTTGAGAACAGAGTATGTCGCCGGGGAAAACTCGTGGTGAGCGCGTCCTCGCGATCTGTCTGGTTGATCGATGATAAATGCAAATGACCATGCAGGATTATCATGCGGCGTAACGTTTGAGTAGAATGGCTACGGGATTACCGACGTGCAACGACGTATACGTGGCCCCGAGCAACAAGGAAATGCCTTCTTGACGGTGCCGTTCAGCGCACATCAGCGAATTCTGCAGCATACGCGTGCGGTTCCTGATGCAAACTGCAGCCAAGGTTCCGATCGACAATTGGGCCATCAAATCACTCTGGGTGCAGGATCTCTTTGACTTGTTGACGCCTACCTTACGGGGTCAACGCACGTCGACGCTTGTTCCCAACAGGGCGAGTTCTGCACCGCCTGTGGGACCAAAATGTATGTATGTGCTTATACACCAAGTTTCGTTAATCGTTCGTACATACCCTGTGGAACAAGCACATGCTTTTGTACGGTACCTAGCATAATCTATGCATAGACATGTTCGCGCTTGAAAAACCAAGTTGTCAGCACACACACATGTACAATCAATGTATCTTAGCTCCTACTATCATTCGCACAGCGGTGTATTCATGCCTTGGGCATCGACCGATGGTGTAGCACCCTCGGGAGACACTGTGGAAGACGCAGCGTGGGTATCTCCATGTGCACCACCATCGTCGAGCGCCGGTGTGACGCTGATGTTGCCGGATCTGCGCGTGGAAAGCCAAAGCCCGAAAGGATGGATCCACGGGGGGTACGCAACCTTTACATCGGCTTCGGTCCTTCTCTCGACGCCATCTTTCGCCGCACTCGCAGTAGAACCCTGCCTCGCTCATAGGGAATTTCCCTGATGATGAAACTCCCCCCTCATTCGCCATCGACAGCGCCGCTGCGCAGCGGCGTTGCAGCTGGTACAGGTTTTAGAAGCAGCCAGCTGGCTGGTGAGGCTTTCCCCTCGCCCCCTCCGGGATATCCCAGACTGGAAAACAGCGGGGTGGGGTTGTGTCACACGGATATACTTTGTAGTGCCCTCCCGTCACAAATATCGCGCGCTCATGCACTACATTACGCTACGCGTTGGACACCTAGTGGACATGGAGGAGATGGGGACCAGGGCGGCCAATGAGGTGAGTGGGATCATCTAGGATAAGTTCACCCGTATGTAGACTGCGCCTGTGTGGCTGTCGTCGCTCGTTGCGTCGTGATGCCGTGATCCCCCCCCCCTTTTTTTTTTTCAATTTTCGCCACAACACCATCACACACACAGCAGCCCACACTTGCCACAACCTTCTTCGCCCTCCCCTTCCGTTTCTCTCCTTCGTGCGCCAACTAATACTCCTGCGATGTCTCACCGCGCTGTTTCCCGAACAACCTCTGCGTCACCTCTCAGCGCCGTCAATGTCAACAACCATCAACCCAGAGGGAGGACGGCCAAGGCTGCGGCATCCCGTACACCCAGCAAGGAGCCGGTGGCCAAGACCAAGGGCGCGGGCCGACGCAAGTCGGTCTCGACGAGGAGGAAGGTTCTGCGGTCTAAAAACCCACCGATGGTAGGTTGAGAGTTCGCCTGCGCTTGCTTACTTGACCACGCGAGTTGTGTTTCTACCCTTCCTTGCGTGCAGCATGCTAGAAAAAAAAACTTGTTCATCTCTTCATGAGTCTAGAATGCATATGCTATTCTAATACAGAGACAACAGTAGGATCGAAACATGTATCCGATGCATAGCTGCAGCAAGTTCATTTCCTGCCGCAGCAATTGCAGGTTTGAGCAGTGCGCCGTCGTGTTGGCGCACATAATATTCTGAGAATCGCCGTGCCCCAATGTCGTGATCACCGATATAAGGTCTTGAGCACCTCTTTTGTCGTGTAGTCCACATCCACCGGTTAAAATTCGATGTTGTGCAAAGGCGCGCGGACGTTGCATTTGTCCCCAATGTGTACTTGATTCGGTATTCAAAATTCCTCAGACTCCGTTCTGACCGCGATGCGAGTTCTTCTTCCTCCCTATAGCAATACTCTGAAGACAAAGACAAACAGTAATGCGTTCCCCAAACAGTAATAATGAACCATGATTTCGGTTGCAACGCACGAACGTTGGTGTTGGCCCCAATGTTGCCTTTGAGTATTTGTTATGCCGGTTGTGGGTGTGTGGAACATGTGTATGTGGACCAGACATTGTAGCTACTCCCAACACAACGTTTGACGAGAAGAGCCGGAAAAAGACCCCCGCGACAGATACGTGCGGGACACAAAAAAACAGAGCAGATGCGTGATGAATGGAAGCGGTTGTTCCGTGTATCCGACTCATACTTGTATAGTCTGGACGTTCCCCGGTTGTACCCGCCGCGGTTTATGGAAGCACACTGATGAATGGTGTACGATGAGGGCCTTTCGACAAAAAAGGCGCGATTTGAGCTCGTTGCCGCCGCAACCGCCCTCTCTATCCGTTCTCGATGAACTCCGCATTGCAAGTCGTCGGATATGTCACCTTTTTTTGGAGCACCCTACATTGGTCGTCGGTCGTTTGTTGAACAAACACATTACTATTTGAGGTGCAACACGTGAAAAACTCGTACGCAGAGACAGTACTGCCCGAGACATGTTAATTCTATTCGAATAATCTTGGTAACAACCTCCGTGCACACCCTATCCCTACGTGCCGCCACCCTCTCCGTACTTTGACGGCAGGACTCATGGACGGGGATGCCGACTCTGTTCTATTGCTGTTGCAAGGTGTTCTTCTGCACTAGGGTTTATGTGACCACCTACCCGTCGCTCCCCCGGTTCGTCGATAGGGTGTTGGAGGAGTACTGAGTTTCACGTAGTTGCGCTGTACCGATCAGAAGTGATACACCAACTGCCGCAAAAAGCTCCGCGCGGCAGCTCCATACGTGTCCCGGGGCCACTCCGGCGTTCAAGTAACCGCTCGCCCGGTGATATTCTAGCCCGGGGTCCGAGAGTGTTGTGGGCGAGGAATACCCTAACAGTGCTGCTTTCTGCCGCCCTCCCTCCGTGACCACAGCGGTCATCATCAAGGCCGTCGTTGCGGCCCGCTCAGAGCTGCACGGTGATGTGCGCGGCGCCCTCGTGGACTTTTTGATCCCTATGATCGAAGAAGAGGCGGCCACGAACAACCCGCGGACCGCCGCCGACCTCTTGCGTGGGGTCCGCGAGCAGGTCGCGGACATCGACCCCGCTGCCGAGGTACACATGCCTGACAATCATAACATGTACGTAGAACTCCAACGTAGATATACCACTTCGTAGAATCGTGCGGGCCTAGTCACGACATGCTTCCGCCCACATTTTTCGTGCCACTCTCACATCGTAAGGAAAGACCATGTGACAATGTTTTAAAAGACTAACGTACGCGAATTCTTGTCTACAACTCACCTTATCGATTACAAAACGTTCCCATTAACCACTACGTTCAGATACTTTCGTGTGATTTATTGGAACCTCTTCGCCCGGTTCTGCTCCAATGTTGCAGGCAATTAATACCTTGCTTCACCGCGTCATGTGGCGCTACAC